AAAAAAAGGAGAAATCACAGAAGGAAGAAAAGCCGGCAGGGCAAGCAAAACAACACCCTCCCTTCCCTCCTCTTAGCTCAAGGTCTGAATCCGCCACTATTGTGTTGTATTTGAAAATATTAAACACACAAAATTATATTTCTTTCAAAATCTCAGTCTCTGATTTGTTCTTAAAATATTCTTAAAATTTCGCAAATTTCCGCCCGGAAACTTAGGACAATATTATTGTAAATGTTACTTTAAGGAAAGGAAGTGTAGTAGATAGTTTTAAAAGCCTACTTCGGTAGCAATCTGGTCTGGGGATTTACTCTGTATATAAACAGTGAGTCGGCGTAATTACTTAGAATTGATTTTTCAATTTATTATGGCGTTGACTATTATAATTGTCTAAATAAAACGAATACTAATAAAGACATATATGGTAATGGAACGGTGTTTGAGATGATGTTACAATCATGTTAAGGATGTCAGTTACAACGATCTCCTTTCAGATTTAAACATAATACGAGGATTTTTCAAAATACTAACCTATATTCAATACTTTCACGAAGCAAATTTACGTGCATTTTGCTATTGTAACTGTCACTTGAAATTTGCATAATTTTAAGGTTCTTTGCACCAAATTTTAATTTCAAGCAGTATAATGGAACCTTTGTTTGGCCTAAGCTACATTGTGCCAGAATTCATAGAGAAATTATTTCCTATAAGAGAGCAGCTCCGACATGTACACTTGAGGAACGAAGGGAAGTTACATGTAACAACAACAAATTGTTCGCGAAAACGAATGAAGATGAATCTTTCTCAGTCTTCATGGATTGGTAATGCCAGTGAGTGTAACACCTTTGTCCACGCAACTGTTCCTTTACATGTAAGATATAATTCTGCCGATTCATTCTATAGCTTGCTTGTCGCAGCAGCTGTTTTCAACTTGGCCGCTTGTCCTTTGACCATTTTGTTGAACGCTTTGGTTATGGTTGCCGTGAAAACCAGACGAAGACTTCAAACACACCCTAACATTTTGTTGGCCTGTTTGGCACTCACCGATCTGATGGTAGGACTTCTTGTACAACCCCTTCACATAACCAAGTCTATTTTCCTCCTACAAGGGAAAGATACCCAAGTATTTTGTGTCATTGAGGTTGCTTTAACGATGTCTTTTGCGATATTTATGTTTGCAACAGTTTTCCATTTACTTTTAATGAGCGTTGAGCGATATCTTGCTATTAAACATACCTTCACTCACGCTACAGTCGTCACCAAAGCTCGCCTGGTCATTTCCTCTGCTGTGGCGTGGATTGCAGCCATCGTGTTATTTCTCGTTGCTTCGTATTCAACTATTGTAAGTTTTATTAACCATGTAACCATCATTTCTGCAATTATCGTACTTCAAATTTCTGTTTATAAGGAGGCCCGTCGACACGAAAAACAAATTCTTTCACAGCAAGTTTCCATGGAGGCCAGACAAAAATTTAAACAGGAAAAAAGAGCTTTAAAACTGATTACGATAATACTAGTGGCAATTTTTCTGTGTTTATTTCTCTCTCCGATTTTCATGTTTACTGCATGGCATATTTTTAGCGAAACCTTTTCAATTGAAGTTCAAACATTAGTTCGTCATATTAGCTTTGTACCGGTGATAATCAATTCATTTCTTAACCCAGTCATTTACACTGTGAGGAAGAAGCAGTTTCGAATTGCTTTTATTGAGTTGCTTTTGAGAAAAAGTTTACAAGAAGCTGAACAATTTGGAATGAGACTGTTTAGATCACCAAACAATGCTCTGAGACAAAATGTACAGGAAGACGAGGGACGGGAGCAAAATGTTGTCCACACTGAAGGTAACCTTGAAAATGTTCCCGAGGTCCTCGCTTCTGATGCTAATTTTGATGACAAAAACATAACCGCTGCACAGCACGAATCTCCTTCCTCAAAGGCACTCACAGGCACATCCAGAAAGACAAAGAATGTACGTGGCAAGGAAAAAAACTCCTGCACACGATAAAAGCAAAGAAGAAGATAATCTTGCAGCTCTCAGTCGTCCCAAGCCCTTGTTTTGATTGGAAAAACGCTGAAATCATTCAAGGCGACGATGTATCCTCGAAGAAACTCGAGACTGAACCAAAATGACTGAAAAACAACCTCAGCATCGAAATTTAGCAGAGAAAGCGGACGAGGAAATCAAAATTGTGGAAGAAAATATTGCTAGGTGATTGACAGAAGTGACGACGACATTGAACCCATCTCGCGAAACTGATATTAGGCGTCGTTCACACTAAGCCGGAGGAATTTGAAAACGGAGGTTTCTTTCTGAAAACGCATCAAATGTTTTCCGTCCACACTACGTCGGGAGAAATTTCAAAACGCACCCATCACCGGTCATTTTGGATTTGTGTTTGAGGAAAACTCGATCGGGGAAATCACATGATTATTGTGATGCCATCATTGTCAAAAAACTCCGTTTTCAAAATGTTCTCCGTCCACAAGAAAACGAAATGACGCCGTTTTCAAATTCCTCCGGTTTCAAGAGCGATTTCGAAAAGCTCTGTTTTCATGACTGAGTGTGTGGACGGTAGGCCTAACCGTAGAAATAACACTACAGGAGCTACCCTAATTTCCCCTCGTAAATCGGGTGAAAAGCAAGTGGCTGCCCGAAAACTGAGGTCAAGGCTCTTTTCCTTTTTGCTCACAAAACACACAGAAAAACTGTTTTAGTTTGTCCGTTCTTTATTGCTCAAATGTCATTGTAGTGTGAAAAGCCGTGTTACATATTTTCAGGACAGACTCTCACAGAGTGACACTCCCTTCTCTATCTTATTACCTATAATAAACTTCAGTTTCAGGCTGGACACTCTTGGAGGACAAAAGCTAACACAATGAGATACTTGACATTATAAAAATACGAAAAAATAAAATGTGTCGCGAAAAAAATACATGGTTACGACTTTGCTTCCACTGAGCGATGTGCTTGTTCAACTAGGGGAGAAATACTTTGTTGAGAGGCACTGTAACAGTATTCAGTATACACTATTCGAAATACAGGTCCTCTCAATCCACAGAGCAGTGTGTTACTCACTTTTCATCAGTAACTCAAGATTGAAGAGTTGAAACAAGACCTATATTAGAATATGTCTTAAAGGAGCTACGTAACGGTTTGTCAATCTTGCAGAGCTTTGCCTAAATTTTTCAAGTTCGTCGTTTGTAATCCGTGTTAATCTTCTCCATCCTTAACCATCCTTGTTCCTTTATGGTTTATTATTATCTCATTAGCGATTTTCTATCTGAGTAAACTATTATTTTCAGGTTTCCTTCAATTGAAAGGTAATTTTGTACTTGGCCAAAATAACTCAAAATACTCTCGGACAACTCTATTAAGGGGACACAAACGTCTGTCCTGGCAAAATGCTTGCTCGTATAAACCATTGTATCTATAACCACTATTGTCTAAAAGGTGGCCCCTTAATGAAGTTTCCACTGTATTTAGAAAAAGGGTTTGAAATTGAATGAAATACATTATCACTCAGTTCAAATATTCGGCTGCAAATATTTCTTTTCACAGATTTTTACAACTCGGCAACGTTTCGAGATTGGTTGAAATTCAAGATCTACTAATTATTTTACAAGCCTACAAACAATAGGTCGATAATTCAAATATCACCCTAAACTACAGATGCCACTAAATTGGTCATCATATCATTGCAGTGATGAGCAAACATTTCCCAAAACGAAGTGTTAGCTTTTGTTTTAACTTCATTCACTTTGACTAACACTTTTTATCATAGTATTTAGTAATAATATTGCAGGAAGGAGAAAACTTCAAGGAAAATAATTATTTCACCGGTCTTTTTTACACTACTATTGCTGTACTAAACAATTAATTGGTAATTTTATATTACCACGCTGAACATTATAATTTTGACTCTATCTTTGAGTGAAATACAGTACTGTTATTGCACTGTACTGTAATATATTAATATACAAGATTTTTTCCCCTTCGTTAGACTGCGAAGGGTAAATCCTTTGTCATGAATGAAGGTTTGTGAAAAACGCCTGTGAAAAAAAGAAAGAACATTTTGTGTGAAATCACGAGGGCCATAGAAATAAGATCACTTCAGTAAACAATAAAAATGGATTTACTTAGTTAGTTAAGTTAATTAGTTAACTTAATTAATTGATGTATAGTAATCTATTTATCTTCTTATGTAAATAGGCCACGTCTGTTGCTCCTCATGATGTTTTTGTTTTGAATTTTTGAATACAGACCTTTACTTGGTTATCATAAACCCAACAATAATTATCATACGTGACAAAAGGTACTCTAGAGAAAGCTATGGAAATGTAATCCCATGTAATGTAATTTACAGAACTTTTGACCTGCAAATGCAAGGCTCAAATCTGTAGGTACTTTTACCATGAGTCATCACTTGAAATGTTTATGTAATTGTTTCTCTGTCAACCTTTGGCACTTCGGTGGATATATAGAGCAAGACCATCCACAGTTGACAAAGCAACAAGAAAAAGAACAAGAACAAGACCAAGAACAAGAACACGAACACGAACAAGAGCACGAACACGAACAAGAACATCAACAAGAACAAGACCAAGAACACGAACACGAACACGAACACGAACACGAACACGAACAAGAACACGAACACGAACACGAACACGAACACGAACAAGAACAAGAATAGCAACAACAAGATCTCACCTTTACATAGCTCTTGAAGGTTTTTACATCAGCTTGCTGCAGTGCATGTGTATACTCCTAATAGAACAAACCCACATAGAAACCGGCTTATTATTGCCACTGAAGTAATTTGGGAACAGAAAGTTTGTACTTTGTAAATTACTGTTTATAGTTGCCAGGCATAAAAATATGGGAGTGCTAAAAGACTTAGGGTTATGTTGGGTCACACCTCTCATATCTGGTAGAGAACAGTAACTAACAGTTTTCAGTATAAACCTACTAGCGTTCTATCACGAATGCCGTTCGCTAATTGGCTACGCTACTCACTATTTATTCTGTTGTAGATAGTGAGTAGCGTAGCAGTGTGCCCTTGTTATCAAAATGACGGTCGATTCTTTGTGTTTTCGAATTATCTGTGAACAAGATTTAGGGCCTGTTTACAAGGAGAGAAGGTTACCCTAGTAAGTGGGTTACTCTAGCACTCACCCTCTTTTTTCCTTCGTCGCGTTTACAAGGCAGCCAGGGTTACTCGGGTTGGCTGGTTACCCTAATCTGCGTGCTAGGGTTACCCTGGCAGGCGGGTTAACTTTTTCCCTTGTAAACACTCCAGATAAGGTTAACCCGCCTACCCGGGTTAACTTTCTACTTGTTTCCAGACCCTTTGAGAGTAACCGCGCATTAAGTTGTCGTGGGATGTAGGGCTATCCTACCTGTGAAATTTTGCTCGTAAACCCGGGCTGTCTTTTGCCCTCCAGCTAGGGTTAACCCGCTTGCTAGGGTAACCCTCCCTCCTTGTAAACAGGCCCTTAGTTAAAGTTTTGAACGACTAGTAGATTTATACGAAAACAATTAGATTATTCACTCTCGATTTCTATGCGCTATAGCCATCACTGAGACGCATATACCCAGCTCGCAATTTTGCAGTTTAGCCCAAATTTGATGGAGGTTTGACGCACCCATAATTTAATTGTAAAATCTTGGCTAAGAAGAGTTTGGACACATCCTAGGTGTCCTGGCTCGCTAAAGCTGGCACGTATAGTGTGGTATTCTCACCTTCCTCGCTAGCAGACGAAATCAACCTTTTACTTACACTATCAACACCTTTACCAAATCGAGTAGATAGTAGAAACAGGGACCGTGCTAGTTAGCCAAACAGTGCGTCATGTAGCAGCTCTTGTGAAGTCTCACATGAATGGCTCGATACACTTTAAGGGAGCACTAAAACAAACAACAGAAACAATGCCCCCTAGCCCCAAAACAATGACAGCCACTACACTATGACGACAAATAGAATTACAAGCTTACGAGAGCCGCTACACTTCTACAAACAGTCAATACAGTCTGCAATAAATTGCTTGGTGGTCTTTAGTGCTAAACCCATTAGTGACAATAGTCCTTGTCACCTACAGAAACAATTTGACACGGACTATTTGTTCAGTGAAAGTCTTAACAACACTTACCTGAATAAGTCCAGGAGCCAATTGTAGAGTTGGCAAATACTTGTTTTGAAGGAATTCTATAAATTCACCACCCTGCCAATAACAAATAAAGTATGCATGGTTACATCACTATTATTTCATGAAAATGACACCATTAAAAATAATGCTGCTATTTTTGGCTTTTCTTACCTGTTTCTGTAGAATCATTTTTTGTGTCAGTGCGATCTCCTGTAATGCCTGTTATAACAATACAAAACAATTTGGAAAAAAGTTTTATTTGATAGAGCAGATGATCAATTGTCAATATAATTTATTTTAATGGAACTACAAAGCCCCAATAATTGCTGTTACCTACATGTCAAAAGCGCATTGTGTGGCAAAGGACAATATCAGCCTTAATACAGACCACTAACAATGAAAGAAAGCTTGCAAACATGCGAAGGTATAGTTCAAAGCTATTACGATGCTTAAACGTTTAGATGGATGTCAACTTTGCCAAGAAAGATGTACCTAATGGTCAACGCATAACCCTAAGGAAAACCAAGGTTAGTTTTTACATACCAAAACTGTCTGGGCATCATTCAAGTCAAATGTTGACTTCATTGGAGCCACAAAAGATGCGGGTACAATACTGTCGTAAATGAACTCTCTAAAGCCATTTAATCCATTGCTCCCACCTAACAGGGAAAGGCAAGAAACAACTTGTCAAAGATGATAGATAATCAAATTAGATGGTATATATTATTCATGAAAACTGCACTGTGTATCGTCCTTACCCCAAACTTCAACTAGCTTGCGGAGAATGTTGAAGGAAATCTTTTGTGCCTGCAGATTACAAGAGATAGCTATTATTAATACTTATTTTCTCCTCGCTAGATTGCTCGAAAATTCAAAACACGTTCTTCATTCTTTTCATGAAACAACAGCCAGGAAAATGAACAGTTCACTACCTTTAATGTCAAATATTTCTACTAATTCTGTAAATAACTCGGGTTCAGACAAAACTTTGTGCTACAATAAGTGGAAGGAGTACGCTCTAAAAAGATGCTACACTATAACTTTACCACAGGGTCTGGGAATTCGACTCCTCCTTGGATCAGAGTCAACAACACTTGGTGTAAATCCTCAGGAGCTGTTAAGAAGACAAAAGTAAAAGATGCACTGAATACCAAACTCTTTATTGACTAAGAAACAGAAAACATGTAAGGTGTTTCTTTTGAGTTATAGAAACACAAGTGGACGTTTTGGAGAATGAGCAATGCTGTGGGAACATGAGCTGACGGGCCAGTGTTTCCAAAGCTTTTTCAAGTTCTCTGAAACTTCCATGAGTGTATCTAAAACTCGAAAGAAATACGGTGAACATGTTCTATTTCTTTTAGAAAATAACCTGAAGAAAAAAAAGAACACAACTTGTTTACTTTTATTATCAAAATGTAAATTCTCTTCGCTCACACCATCACGATT